GGTCCGATGCTTCTTCCAGTATGGCATTTTGCTGGACGAGGGACCCAGCTAGGCTTAACATCATGGCGCGTGATTCTTGGGTTTCGGCTCTAATTGCGAAGCCAGTTGGAACTCGGTATACTTGCTCAATATTGACTAGAGGAATTTCAAGCACTTTTGCCACAGCCTCTCTAACACCAAACGGTGATAGCTTTCTCCAAGGATGTTTATATCCAAGGCGAAGAAACAAGCGTTTATCTTTCATGGCTGATTGCGTTGATGCGGTTGGGTTTTTTGACGGCCGCGTCGATTTTGTCGCCTTTGTCATAGCCTGCGCGACTTTTGTAGTTGCCGGGGGAGTCTTTATACCGGTGCGGGTGATTGAGGCCCAAGTAGTTTTGGCCTGGGAGACTTTGTCATGAGTCACTTTACTTTGTGGCTCATCTTGATTTTTGGCGACACGTTCTATAATCTTGCCGCCAGTAGCCTGGGTTTCAGGGCGCGAGGGAAGTACTGGGAGGACTGTACCCGGTCCCGATATCATGAATTGAGCTATTGCAGCTCTAATGAAGACTTTCATGGAGTCTATATATTGAACACTCGTCCCTTTGGATAGGGGGGAGAGAGCATTTTCGACCCCGTTTTTTGCAGCAGTGCAGATCTTTACATTTTCTGCTGTATTAGCAGTCCGGCGTTCTTCGGCTTCGATTAAGGCCCTAAGTTCGGAGGGATATTCTTCTGTCAGCTTGGGAATATTTTCGCTGCGAGAAGCGGTACTCTCCTCCGTAATCCCTGATGTACCCTCAGAGGGATTTTTGGGACATGCGGCGCCTTTTTCCTTGCTTGTTTATGCGATCGCTTCCCGCCTAACAGCAGGGACAGCAATTTTTCTAGTTGTGCTGGCAGAGATGACTGTGACTTGGCTATCTTCCGAGTCTTCTACGTTCCACCTAGAGCTACTGAGGCCCTCTTAAATATAAATGTCGAGTGTTCTATCGCACATTTCGATGTCTGGATTGCTAGAGCTGGTATTTTCTTCGAAGGCATTGATCCTCTAGATAAGCTCTGTATCCGTTTTTCCATAGTCGATATTTTTTACTGTCGAATTCTTGTCGATCATACGTTTGATCACTTTCTTGTGCGCTCTTCCGAGGGCTTCGATAACACGATCCTCACGCGATTTTTTGGGCTGCCCCAGTTCCATTCCGAAGATCGGGGGCTTGTCACTGAGATCGCAATTTTCTGATGAATGCGACGAGCGCGAAAGGGAGGGAGACGGGGGAAAGGGTGAAGATTCGAAAACCCGAATTTCAGAAAATTGTGTGTTTGTTTGTGTCTGTGTGTTTCTTGCGCTACTTGAGTCTATGACTATCTAGCACATTGGGCTCCTCTCTACTGATCACCTGTACGCGGTGTCCCCTACGAGCCTGGGAGTGAAATATTCTCCCCGAGCCAAGTTCAGTCAAACTTCGCAATACCGATCAAGTTGGCCCACGAGGCAATGATTCAAAATACTCCACCATATCAATCTTTCACTCCCAACGAAATCGATTCCTACCTAAGCCTCATCAAGTTTACAAGTACGACCTGGTATATCCTTATTCTAATGATCACACCTCTCGTCGACTTTCTCTGGCCTCAGCCGGTCACCAAATACACGCCCACGCCGATATTTACACGCGAAGGAGGAAGCAAAGCGTGGCGTACAAATCTGGGGGACTGTTCTTTGGGATGGATGTGAGAGGATTCAGGACAAGTTGACGAGAGGATTCAGGACAAGTTGACAAGATGATGCAATAGGTGAGTGAGATCTCTGAAAGGGTAGGATTTCCAAATTGGCAACGAGATTTACAAGTTGAGCTTTGTGCGTACCAAGTCTTCGGTTGCGACAGTGCAGGCGACACTATAAAAACTGCCATGGTTGGATGGTGCGGAGGTACATCGTCTTGGCCGGTCTGCTAAGTAAAGTCTGGATAGCTTGGATACATATCCCACTCGAGAAAGTAGATCGCTGGTTCAAATCCGACAAAACACAACCATATTTCTCGCGGCGCTGGTATACATGGATGACGAAGGCATGCTTGGATAACCAAAAGTTTTGAGATTCCCTTTGGTGGGTACCAACGGAGGAGGGTCGACTGTTTGTGTAAGCGAACATACCTCATAGTGGTATTTGCAAATGAAATCCAGAGTATGAATGTCTCTAACGTCAAAAGAGTCATCCCACATGTATACATAGCACCGGTCATGTGTCGTAGCTAGATAGCTGAATACACATTAAATGATTTAAAAAAAATACACTCGGAGAACGCCGCACCCAAAGCAGCGTAAAAATCAACTTCGCAGCCCAAAGCTGCCACGAAAGCAGATTGCCCTTCGGAACTTCGACCAATTGTCGAAGCCGAACAACGACGCGTCGCCGAAACAGCGGCAAATCTGGCCCTCTGCTCCGCCGCCATCTCTGGCGTCGAAGCCACCCTCCTCCCTTTGACCAACGGGTCAAATAGACAATTCGCAGACTCGATGAGAGTCTACCTACACGCCGCCATTGCGCAATACATGGCCACGGGCCCGGCCTCCACGCCACCCGTCCTCCCTCCTCGCCCTGCGAACCCGACTCCAAGGGCTCCAGAAGCCAGGAGCACACCCATTCCCACCGTTCCAGCTCTGCCTGTGAAAAGCACCTGGGCCACGGTGGCCAGAAACGGAATGCGACAAAAAGCAGTCCCTACTGCGAAGGCTGTGCCGCGACCTGCGGCCAAAGCCCTAAATAAAAAAGCTCCCAAGGCAAAAGTCGACAAGCGACTGTTCCTTCGCCTGGAAAAGGAGCACCCTTGGCGCCGGCTTTCGACTCTCGGAATAAGGCAATAACTACAGATCAGGCTGGAGTGCACCTTGAGTGACGCCAGCTCTATACAACGTGTCAGAACCGGCTTTGCTATTCTAACAGGGAATGAGGAAATAAGGGAAGAGCTCCTAGAGGCTACACCAAAGTTGGCGGAATTCAACGCCAAGTTCGAGGAAGCCTCCAACCTTATCACCTTTCGGATCGCGAATGTTCCAGTGACTATGAGAACGTTCGGCGGTATCTATACGATCGATGCGGAAAGGATCATATATGAGATATTCAGGAAAACGCAGCAGTTTCCAACCCAGGTGCTACCGCACGGGACATGCCGTCCTGGAGCGCCGTACAGAAATTGGAAAGCCCTGTTCGCCCGGGACTCCGCCCCTCGCGCGGGCTTCCGTATTCTCGGCGAGTCTAGAGTGACGACCATTCTAAAGCCTCGCCGAAAAATTGAACAGTGCATACGCTGTTTGGGCTTCAACGTCACCCGTGGTTGCTCCCGCGCTCTAGCCTGCTGGAATTGCGGATCAAATATGCACTCGAAAGACGAGTGCAAGGCCCTCAACAAGTGTCGCAACTGTGGGGGACCTCATCGATCAGATTCTCGGGACTGCCAAGTCAGACCCAGAAAGTCTGGACCGGTGACAAAAGAGCAGCTCGAGCGGATCCGTCACATCCAGCAAGGGGAGTTCGTGAAGGTGGCACGAGCTCGGGCTGCAGCTAAAAAAGCCGAAGAGGCGATCATCGCCGTGGCGAAAGATGTCTCGATGGCCGAGGCAACAGGTTTCGGAGTGTTGGAATCTGAAAAAGAAGCTTGAGGACACAGCAACCTCGACGATGTCCCGGAAGGGACATCTTCTAACTAATAGCAGGATACCGGCTGGACCAAAGGTGCCTGCTAACTCATCTCTTGCTCTCAGCAGAGATTGAGTAAATTTGTCATTTGGAAGGTGTGACGGACGACAGAATGTGTGAGGAGCACATTGCTTGGGTCCAATGTGAAGGAATCTTCTGGTTTTTGGAGTTGTTTTGATTTTTGTGATTTTTAGTATCGGTTTAGTCAGCTGCACTTTTGGCAGAGATTCACGAGGTTGGAACGAGTTAGGCTGTAGGAAAGATTACAGGGAACCCTGCCGGCTCCGCCTGTCCTTGACCCAATGTGGAAAAGATAGCGTTAGCCTAGGACCAAAAGTAAAAATATATATCCGCTTGCGAGAGTGCAGCTGACACAATAAAATCAAGTCAACGACGAAAGGTGCCGTGATCTGCTTCCTGGTGGTGTTCTCTGATATATTTTGAGTAGCCTGGGTACTTACTCCACTTGGGAAGGAGACGCCTCAGACCACATTTCGCGCGAAGAAAATTCAGTGGATGATGAAGGCATGTCTAGATAACTCAGGATTTTTGAGACGTTCACCTGAGTGTATGTTTACGGATGAGGGCTGACTTGGGGTGAAGAAGACACAACACTTCGTAGTGGTACTTGCAAATAAAATCCGGGTCTTCAGTGCTCATCTTATATATTGAGTTATCTTTTCTATATATTTTCTCCAATATTATGTTGTAGCTAGATTGCTGTGTACAAAAAAAAAATCTGATGCAATAATAAAAAATATCTCGAGACGCGTCATGGTCCGTGCATATTTTGTGACCAATGTCGTTATAAAGAAGCCATAGCATTTCGCATAGAGGGCCGTGTGTGATATCTTTCCCTCTTCTCTTATCACTCAACCTAGAATTTAACGACCTCATCATCCAGGATGAGTCACATTGACGAGTTATTGGCATACACCGCGTTAAATCCGCTTGCTGAAATACTCCATCGATTCCGGACTAAGTATGAAACAATGAGTAATCCTATGAAAGGTCAGTCTTCGTTGCACGTACTGGAGCACTATCTAATTTTTAAGCAATCGACGGGCTGATTACTAATTTACGTCGATATACGATGGATTTTGACGGGAATGCGACCATTGCTACGCTAGATAACCAGCTCACTGAACTAATGTGCATGATTTCCCAGAAGGAAGTTTCTATCTCTGATTTTGAAGTATTGACCGCGTCAATCCATAACTCTGCCAGTGATAGTCAAATTTGGGCTAGCGTCATTGATACCGTAAATAAAATTTTTCGTAAACCATCATCAAACCCACCTAATCCAAAGAGAGGTATGATGCAGCAGCAACATTCATCGACTTCGAAAAAGCGCAATGTCGCAGAATCGACCGGTTGTGGTGAAATCGCCAACTATCTTACGCAGGCACTCAATGTTGAACTTTCTGGCAAAGTTTACAGAAATGTCGGCAACTTTTGGGAAACGCAGTTCGAAAATAAAGCGTGGTCTGATCTAACCTCGCGTATCTGGCAAAGTTATTGTGATCACGGTCAATGTGGAAGCGATAACGTCTTCTCGGATAACATGGACGAAGTAGCGATGCAAAGATGGCTTTACGCTTTCCAAGATCGGTTCTTGAAACAATTGATGAGCATAGCCGAAAAACCAAAAAGCGACAAACCCGTCGTCAAGAAGGAACCTAAAGATCCCAAGGTGCGAGGGAAATTTTGTCACACGACAAAAACCAATCACTTCAAGGGTGTTATAAGTGAACAAAAGCTGGACTTTTTCATCAAATCTGCCACCATTCTAGATTGTCAACAGCACAATTGGAGAGATGTCCGAGTGGTGGGCGAGTTGACCGCGTCACCCGGTCAGAAAGCTGATAAGATTCACCAATTGATGAGATACATGCGCGAAATATTCTATGCTCAGCCACTTCGTCGATTTGTGCAGGGGTTCTGTTTGCACCAAAAGCACGTTGAGCTCTGGGTTGTCGATCGAGCAGGTGCATACAGCTCGACAGAGATTGAAGTGATCAAAAGTCAGGAAGCGCTTGTCCGGGCGCTATCTTCTTACATGCTCATGAGTGACGATGAGCTTGGGCTAGATCCAATAATTAGATATGATGAAGAAGATCGTTGTTTCGTCAAGATTCCAAAGGGTAGAAAGAAACAAAGAACAAATGAGATCTCACCTCAGCCAGTACGTCGATCGGAGGCGATAAGCTCGCGAGGAAACACGTGCTTCAAGACGAGAGATAACAAGTATTTGATCAAGTTTTCTTGGGGCTCTGGTGCCAAACGAAGTGAGCTCGAATACCTGGAGCTTGCAAAAAAGCTACCGGGAGTCATCCATCTGAAGAGGTCAAAAAGTCTCTACGAGGTTGAGACCCACCTAAAGGGCATAGATTTTTCGACTGGATATAAGTGGGAAATGAACTCAGAGGAAGCACATCTCTTCCATGGCAAAACAATGGATCCAAAGGTGGAAGATTACTACATGAAACGTGAACTTACCTTTGCCAAACTCTCACCATTCGGACGCCCACTCAACTCATGCTCAACGGTGAGGGAGTTTGTAGGCGGCATCCGTGATGCGATCATTGGACATCGTAATCTCCACGAAATCCAAATCCTTCATGGTGATGTTTCGGAGGGAAACATCATTTTGTTTGGACCGAACCACAAGGGCGTGACAAAAGAGCTACTTATTGATCTGGACATGTCAACTCTCCTCCAGGATAGTCGGGACAATGATGAAGCGAAAGTCATCACTGGTACCACAAAGTTAGTGGTTCTGGGACTCTTGGCAGGTATCAAGAACAAGGATTTTAGTGTTCAACATACGTATCGTCATGATCTTGAGTCCTTTTTTTACGTTCTACTGGTCGGATGCATGAGCTATGGTCGTGACCCGGAGTCAGTACCTGATTACTTGGAGCAATGGTGTACACCTTCTTCAGCCCTGAACTACGGAAGGAAACAATCTCATATTGTATGTGATTTCGAGAAACAGATCATAGGTTTCTTTTCGCCGAAGTTCGAGTGTCTTAAGGATCTGGCACGTACGATACGTAAAATCCTATTTGGACAGCCAACATTGTCGGGAGAGAGGTTCATGGAATATGGCACACCGGAAAACTCTGATCTACTGTATGATCCTATTATAGCCGCCCTTAACGATTCCATTCTGAAACTTGAAGGTAAGAAATATTCTAGATTCACGCCGAACGATTGTCCACTATTTATCTATAGTCGCTGACGAAATGTATCATGTATTACAGGGGAAGTCTTACAAAGGAAAATTAACGATAGCATCTCGATAGAATCTCCTGCAAATATAATTTGTAGGAAGAAGCAGCGAAGTGGTGCAGAGGTGAAAGGCTAAGGAGATGTTACTGATAGATATTCTCAAATTTTCATTAATCCAAACAATTATCCATAGAAAACTTTCACAGTACGCTGTTCTTGCTACCAACTACGCCTTGATAATATGTATAGAGGCCTACCAAGGTCTGGGTGATCTGAAAACAAATATAAAAATTTCGCTCGAGTTTTGTCTATACTGGTAGAAAATGAGTTGGTCTATCGGAATGGAGTCTTTGTTTGAAAAGATACATTAGTCTTGTTTAGGTCGTCAATTAATACTTTACTGGAGACCAAAAGTCGGAAATATCCAGATGACCTAATGTCGCTACAGAACGGTAACTAGCCTGGTGGGACTCTAATACTTGATGCACTCGTACATTCCTAGGTTATTTGTCAAAGACTACTCGTTCTCTTATTAATCATGATGATTCTCCGACAATAATTCAACAATCTCATAGCTGTGCACTTCATGATGAATCAAAACTAATGAACACAAACTCAAATCACTTGTGGAAAACCAGGTAACAATTATCTGGTCGTCAGTGTATGTGTGTCATTCATTTAGGTATGACAAAAGTCCAGCACTTGGTCTGCATGAAATATGATGCTTTTCACTCAAGATATGCTCATGATTTAGCCCGCAAAGACGAGTTGTCACCTTTCAGTGTTGCCGGTATAACCGCTCAACATGCTCTGCATGTCTGGGATAGCCAAGAAGAATGGCATCGGAATCGAAGTCGAAAGCAGACACATGCATATCTCCATTTAACCACTTCTAAATCATGCCGCGCTTACCATTCTCATTTGAGTTCTCAACCTCTTTCTAACCGCGCATCATCTCACCTCAACGACTGATAAAGGCGTCACCCCAATTGCAAACAGGAGTTTTGTATGAATATTGGCGTTGGTAGGGTACCTATGGGAGAAGTATACGGATATTAGTCACGTGGTGTCAGTGCGGCGTTGGGGTTTACTTCCGTTCTGTACTCATGATAGAGATAGATATACGTTTTTTAGATCAATAACTCTGTTACCCATTCTTTGTGCTAGCACATAATCTTGAACCGGTGATAAACCGACAAGTTTGCCTCAATGATTACCGGCTATTACTCACTTCAAATTTACGACGGCACGTATACCTGAAAGAAGAAAATAAAGTTGTAATATACAAAGCTCGGGTCATAGTTTTTATGGGATTGTTGCTCTAATGAGATAAATAACATGAAGGAGAAAAGGCAGCGGAAATGTGGAGCGAGAGACTGTAGATGTCTTTTAAGACTATGCAGGGACCAGTATATTCGTGGGGCTTTCAACTTTGGAACGTTTGTGGGCGTCAAGGCCGAGATTTCGACTAATTAGCCAGGAGGACTTTAATTGTCTATGAGACGACGGCACCCCCCAGAGTCCGAGACGAAACAAAAGAAGTCTGGTTGAGTAACTATACAGCAGCCACGCTCTGTCAAGACTTTTCTGACATTTCAGCTCGGGAAGGGTTTAGAAGGATGCTAGAAAGGTAGAGGTTGAGTTTCCCGAGGTACATACAAGTCTGAAGCGCCTAGCTGGCCGACCTCTTTGAACGCTTCAGAAGGGTCACTATGTCTTCGGATTTAGTCCGAATGTCAGTCCTAGAAAAGCCCCGCACCCGGTGGCTTTGGCGATATTTCCCGGCTGCCACACAACCGCGAATAGCCATCGTTTCGTTGGCTGGAGAGGGGAGATAATTGTCGTTATAATTAATCTATTTATTGTTATGGATATTCATATAATTGATAGTGTTTGGAGCACTGGCGTATCTGCTAAAGTAAAGTTCATGGATTTGATTACTAAGACTTAATATGTACTACTAGCTTTCGTTAGATGTAATAGAGAATCAAGTTTATAAATATTACCATCACCTAAATGAAGTCACAATAATGAAGGGTAAAGTGTTACAGGCTAACGCCTTGTTTAGTTATAACCGGAGTTTATCCGGTTCATTTATCGAGAAGTCTTAGAGTACATGGCTTGGCTGGATTAAGGAGTTTTGTAAAGGATAATTCCTGCATAAATCCATACGCGACGCGCGGTATCGAGTAGATAAGCATGTAGTCTTCGTAGTACTTCTTTCTTTCTACAGAATATAAACGAATTTACGACACACTTTCATGCGAATAGCTAATGTGACTAGTCCCTTCACATAAAGGGCTCCTCTAAGTGTATGATCGAATAAGGACTTGTGATGGGTAGTTTTCACGGATCAGTAAATCTAAAACTAAAGGCTGGAATATCATGAAGCAAATGGGCGTTGGAATGTAGCAGATAAATTCGTCTTAGCTTATTCAGGGAATGAGTAATGCAAGGAGTCATTCAGGGACAACTAAAAAGAGTCATGAGGAGAATAACTAGCGCAGTATCATCAATGCGAGGATATGGGCAGGTATTACTCATGTCTGATCCAGGCTATCAAATGCTTCTATCTCTGTATATATTGGGTCATCGTGTTAGAGGTTTTCTCTTCACGCAACGTCTTCTTCATTTACCCTTTACCATACATTTGTTTAGCCATCTCCTCTTCGGGAAGACCATCTATCCATTTCCCAGTCCTTCATCAGCAAGACCCACGTGTAACGTCTACCGCAACTAGTTGCCTATTCGTTTTTTCCTAGAGAAGATCTGTCACGCCTTTGACCCAATTATTATGTTCACTTACCACCTAGATCCTTACTAGACCATCTAACGCACCCCGTGGAACATCGTCCAAACCTCATTCTTGAGTAGTGCTGTTTGAGGGGAGCTGTATGGGAGGCATAGGAGGGGATATACTACTGGCATAAGTATCCTTGGCCTCTGACAGAGAGGATCTACATATCCTATGTAGTCATAGACTCTGTTAGGACAATGAAATGAGTTTAATATATTATCGTTGCAACTCTTGTATATTTAGTGGGGCAAGCTCAACTACTTCTCCGCTCTCTGGCATCTCTTACTACGAAGTTCTTTTTATACATTTACATGCTGTGGTCGTATTAGTTTCACGATCAAGAACAGGGCACGACCCTCAAAATCTATTGGAAAAAATTAAGTAACCTCATTCTAACATTGAAATAGTAGCCAGACTTTAGTTGGTAGATTCTGGCCGGGAAGTGTTACGGGGATGAATTGAATTGAATTGAATACATTACGTATCAGGCTTATGCCCTACACCCAATAGGCGTGATACGGGTCTGTGCTCCCTGGGGCCACACTACAACCTAGGTACATAGTTTGCTTCTCAGAAACTATTTGTAGAAGACATAGATAATTAATTAAGTTTCGAAAAAAAAAACGCCCTGCGCCTTTTCTCCTTCCTCGTGGCCCTTAGTCCTGTGGAAAATTTCCTCCGGCAGGACTTAATCCTCCCGGTTTGCGCTCTGCATCTCGTAACACTTAGTTACTGTTAAGAACTGGAGAAATTTACCCCCTCCCTTTTCTGCCAGCATCTCCCGTCCACTCGGTGGTGGTTCATGCTTCTCTTCTCTCCAGTGCCGTAGAGCAATCTGACATTCGGCAAAATGCCAGGGACGTTTCTCTCTTCCGCAAACGCATTTGCAGTTTTCCCATTCGTGGCCAAACCTTTCATGGTAGTTCCTAAAATCACCATGTCCCGTCCTCGCTGCGACCAAGTGGTGATGCGCCCACCTCGGAAGTGCTAGCTCTGGTGGACGTTTTCGTTTCATTCGGAGATCCAACTCCTCATAGCGGCTAGGTCTATGTTTTAGCCACCAGGATTCCACCGCTTCTTCACACCTTTGCCTGACAAACCGGTTGAGGGCTGCGAAGGTGTATTTAAGTCCGTCCTTAATTGTTGAGGGATCTGTAGTCGTTTCAGCCGGGAGTTTCCTGAGGGCTTCCTTCGCCAGTCTGTCTGCCTCCTCGTTTCCAGTGACCCCTGAGTGGGCTGGTATCCACCTGATTTCAACTGATCTGGCTCGTCGTACCAGTCTTGTGAATATGTCTACCACCGCCTGAGAAGATTTCGTTCGACCGGTTTGAAGAGCTCTTGCGGCTATGGAGTTATCGAGGAGCACTTTTATCGGAGAGCTGCCCGCTTTTCCTATCGCTCCTTCGAGGGCTTTTTGGGCGCCAAAGATTTCGGCATCGTACACCTCCGCCCCTGGCAGAGGACCGGCATCACTCCCAATCATCTGGCCTCCTTTGTATAAGATGTATCCCCACGCCGATCTAGCAGGTCCACATGATGAGCCGTCTGAGTAAGCGCAAACTGTCTCATCCGACAGGCTTGCTATCCATTGCTTAGCGTGAGCTGCTTCTTGCTGCTTGTCACCGCCAGTGAGCTGTCTGATGGGCTCAGCTTTTGGGAAATACAGTTTGCCGGAGCCCTCGGCCATCGGCATATTTTTGGCGCTGATCTGAAGTCGCGTGAAGTACCTTTCTGGGCACTTGAATGGCCGGTTCCTCTGACCTATGCGGAGACCTAGGCGGCTTACTGTATCTTTTAGCTCCTCTGTAGACCTGAATGCTAAAGGATGCCACGCGTCCAGCCTTTGAATCCGTGCGGCAGCTAGAATTTTTCTCTGCTGTAAGATAATAGCAGATGGGGGAATACCCGACTCTCTGTGTAGCGCCGTTTTTGGTGTAGTTCGCCACACCGGTAGCGCAGCTCGAACTGCCTTCAAGATAGTGCTGTCGAGGAGATCAGTGTGCCAGCCTACTCCTGTGCCAACCATTTTGTCCCGCTGGGTTGTGATTCGGGTGAGACCTGGCCACCACGCTTCGGCTCCATATAGTGCCGTACTTAGGACACAGGACTGCACTGCTTTAATCATCGGTCCCGGAGCTGCGCCATGCTGGACCGAATTTATCCGTCGTATAGACTGTGTTATACGTTGCGCCTTCCCGCACCATTCCTGAACG